AGAAGTAAATCCAATTAATTTCAAATGCTCTAGTGTGTATATAATACAAGAAAGGCTAAAATTCAAATCCTCTGCATTGTTTAATATTAATCTGTAATAGATATTAGCACAATTTTGGTATTCCTATTTCTAATTTATGTATTGGAAAATTAAAAAAAACATTTAAGAACAATAAATGGGCCATTATTTTGGCAGTAAGTTGAGTTTTTATACATATACCCCTTTCTAAACATTGAGTTTCACTTGCCTTTAACACATTTCCTACCAACATGGGGAGAAAAACACGTGCACTGTGGAGGTAAGGACACTAGAATTTTCAGTCTCAGTCAAACTTGGAAAGGTGGAGTTCTGCAGAAACGCTGTGCATCCGGCACTTTTGTCCCCACCAGGTGTCAGGTCCTGTGTACTCTTCATTGGCAGTTGAGTCATAGTAAAACAGTGAGAGATAAAGCAGGACATGTGGCTTCTCTCACCCATCTCTGCCCTTCCTTAAGATGCCAGCTTTAGTTTGGGGGACACCACCAGAGAATGCTGAGGCCCCACATCCCAGCCTGAGACACCCCCACCCACCACCAGCTCAGGGCCTGGTGTGCGGGAAGCTTGGGCTGTGCATGCCCTGTGCTGTGGTGCTGCTGACACTGAGCCACACGCCTTGGCCTGGATCCTGTCCTTCAGGCCTCGTCTGGAGCCTTCCCAGATCCCAGTTTGCGTTCCTTGCTTTTTTACCTTCCATCCACTGTAAAGATACCTACAGACACATGGGAAACCATGTGTTTTTCATAGTGCTTACAGGTCACAGGTCCATTTGCACGCTGGGAAAGGAGGTGATCCAGGCAGGAACCCAGGAAGTTCCCTTTCCTGAACTTGTGCATCGAAGAACTAAACTGTGGAAAACTCACTTGGGAAGACTGAGAGCCCTTGTGTCTGCAAAGGTTGCTCCATGGCTGAGCCCCGTGCCTGAGATGCAGGAATGCCTCCAGCTTCCATGAGCTTCATTAAGGGGAGTCGTGTGCATTCAGAGCAGGCGAGGCACCGAATCCCATGCAGGTGTATGATCTGTGTGTCTGAAGGAAGAGGTCAGACTGGCTGTGTACAGAAAGGACGGCTCAGCCTTCTGGTTTATGACAGAGTGACTTCTGGCCCTGATTGCAAATTCCATGGCATTTTGTCATCCTTGCATGCTAATAATATAAAGCTTCAGGTTGGAGAAATCAAGTCAGATTAGGATGCTTAAATGCTGTTTCTGAAGATAAATGTTTGTGATTCTGGTTAGCTGCCTGAGAGGCCTGGTCCTGCTTGCATACATCCTGGCACAGAAGTGTTGACTGAACCCGGATCCCTGCTGGTCAGTTCTGGAGTTCACACATACTATCTCCTGCGCATCACAGCATGTTTCCCCGAGGAGCCGGTGAGCTCCATCAGATCACGGGAGCTCTATTGCTCATCTTTCTCATCTTGGTCTTGGCTGCCAAGAGACTCAGAACTAAATGTTGCACTATGTTAAACCTCAATATGTCCTTGGTTTTGGGTAAAACTGTTTCCATTTCTCCCAGGTTTTTCCTAAGTTTATCTCTTTAGCTTTTAATTGTGCAGTTGTACAAGTGTATTTATCAACTACCTCAAATTGTTTATGAACTATTGACACCAATCAATACCCATGAACAGATCATCTTTTGCTTGAGAACACAGTTCTTAAAGGAAGGTAGACCACCCAATAAAGTAAGTATTTCAACCTTAACTCCTGCCCCCAGATTTTGACCAGGATCTTAAATTGCAAATTCCTTTTTTCAAATTATTGTTTCCATTCATAGGTACCATCTAGTGGTTGATTCTCCCCTATTCTTTATTCCCCATTTCTTACAAACCTACAACCCCACCTCTAGGATCCTGAAAAATAAATACATAAGAAAGCCATCGGTTTAGCAGCTACCCTAGAGCCGAGGTACCACTGAGGCAGCAGGGCAGCCACCTGGGCTGCCAGCATGTCCCACGACGCAATAAATGCTATGCTGGAAGTGTGATTAACATTTGATTTCCTCAGAAATTTTATTATGTCAAAAACGAAGATGAACTGGTAGGCATCACATTATCACTTGGTATCAAATTTCCTAAATTTATTTTTGATTATTTTACATCATTGATTCCCCACACCTACCTCAATTTGTTTTATGCAGGTTCAAAATCCATACATACCTCAGCATTTTAAAATAACACCCTCTACTTGGCGATGAACTAAAGGGATGTGTGAATAAAACGCAGTGTAGTCCTAACGGAAATACATGCACTGAAAAATGTATCAGTAAGAGAACAAAAGGTAATTTCATCAAAACCAGAACTGAGTTGCCCCTCTTCTGTCAGACCTGAAGAGGCCTGAGAGGTCAAGGGCTCACTTTGTTGGGGGGTATGTGCAGGCGTTCATGTGCATGAATAGCTGTCAGACGGGAGGAATTTGTGGAATAGGACATCTTTTAAAACCAGGAAAAAAAAATGCCAGATATGACTGAAATCTTATAGATTTGAAATAGCAACTGTTCTGAAATGTTAATACAGTTACAAGTCTCGACTACCTGCAGGAGCACATTCTCAAAGTAAGAAATGCCAGTGTCACCCCGTAATTAAAAACCACTGATGATATATAGACATCAAAACATAAAACTTAGAAAGTTTTACTCACTTGATACCTCAGTGAGAATCCTCTTGACGGGAGGCTTACCTGGTGACAGTTTTGAGTGGTAGTTTTACACAACAGAGTCTGCAACTCTCATTTGAAAACGGAGGATACTGCAGTCCATAGCTGTGAAAAACTTAGTCCAAAGCCCTTTGTCTCATTCATAGCTTGGGGAAAAGAGAACCTTTCTCTACACTAGTCCTTTGTCCACAACACCCCTGTGTATCTCCTAATTAACTGTTCCTATGAAAATAGTAGGAATCCTCTTCATTGCATACAGTATATCTCATGGTAAAAAATGATATTAAATTAAATTTTAAAATTTGCTGAAAGAATTCCCAGTGTGGACGTTTCTGTGCCTCTCCCCAGGTGCCCTTCCCCAGTGCCTGTAAGACTCAGGTAGTCGGCACCAGGAAGAGCAGGCCGGCCAGCTTCACATCATCCCCAGCCCAAGCCTGAGTATGGCTTCCTCAGCAGGGAAACGGTTCTCATCTCACGAACACACACATGCATCACGCAGGGACGTGCTAGCCACTGCCCGGTGGAACACACCCTGGCTAAGAATGCCTGACACAACTGCTTGGAAACTTCATGATTTTTCCTGCAAAACCATGGTTATAAAATAGTGTCTAGCTGATACCTCATTAACACTTTATAACCAAATTCAATCATTTATTTTAGTAACCGTACAATGAAGGTTAGCCATAGTTGACCCTTGAACTATATGGGTTTGAACTGCATAGACTCACTTATTTGTGAACATTTTTCAATAAATAAATCGGAAAATTTTTTGGAGGTTTGTGACAATTAAAAAAATATTTTGTATTCTTTAGCTTAACTTTACTGTAAGAATACAATATATAATACACATAACATACAAAATGTGTGTAAATTGACTTTATATCATTGGTGAGGCTTCTGTCAACAGTAGGCTATTAGCGATAAAGTTTTGGGGGAGTCAAACGTTATACTCAGATTTTTGACTGCACACGGAGTAGGTGTCCCTAACTCCTGTGTTGTTCAAAGGTCAGCTATATTGACTGATAGAGATGATTAGGAGAAAAAAAGCAGATTTCACTCATGAGTTTCCAACTTGTTTTCCAGTGAAAACATGAACCAGTTTTTTACAACTTCTCGATTAAGAATTTCCATATATATTCCTTCATCAAACGACATAAATGCCTTTAACTTATTTAAATTATATATTCAATAATTTATTCTTCTATACAATAATAATAATAATATAATAGATTTAATTTAATATTTTAAATCGTAAAATTCCCTCTAAGAGTGGCCCACCATTGTCTTGCTAGGTATACGGGGCGTCGTATAGGCGTTTTATTATGGACGCTCATTAAAAATTTCTGTCTCCTTAGATACTAGCACAGGGATTTGGGGAGTAGTCTGCAATTTTACCTTTGATTTTGCTGAAGGACAATCAAAATAATTGCTTGATTTCACCCATAAATTAATGCTCAGCCGATCAGGAAACAGAATGGGAGGCCGCGGAGGAAGGCCGGCCGGGGCGCTGCAGGCACACCCGCTTGAGCGCCGGGGCCGTGACCGCACGGGCTGCTTCCTGACGGGTTGTTACGATGAATGGCCTTAAACCCGGCAACCCAATTTGTGAAAAATTAGCTAAAAACTTACTATAGCCTGAAAATGTTTCTGATGCATCACAACCAAAGTAAATCTAAAGACTGTGCTCTCCACGGCTGTCAGCCTCGGGTGGACAGCACGTGATTCTGCTGATGTGCATTCCCAGCAAAAATTACCAAGGCACCTTACCTTCTAGGTGTTCTCTACACCCAACTCTGTTAGGGATCTAAATCCCAGTATTTACAAGAATAATACAATCAGCTGAGCCCCCAGAGTCTCCTTAGTGTGATCTGCCCCGGGCATTGGCCTCCCCACGCAGCTGCCCGGGGACCAGGCTTGGGCTTCATTTCCCAGGACAAACTGCTAGACCATGGAGGCCGTGTTCCTACAGAAATATCAGGAAGGTCACACTTGAATGCACCATCCCATGGCTACCAGAACGAGCCAACAGGCAGAAGGAACAAGCCCTGGTGAGGCAGGTGAGGCCGGGCAAGCTGCTGGCGTGCATGTGGAAAATGAGTTTAAGGCTGGTCTCGTGTCCTCTGATGTATCATTGCAGATTCTGCCTCGTGATAGTTAAAGGGGTTTAAGCTTTGAGACCAAAACCTGAAGCAGAGGAGAGAAGCAGTGCACAGCGCACACTTTCCAAGAACGCCCCTACAATTTTCACTGTTGGGTTTGCACCCCAAGAGGTCACCTGAGACAGGACATGGTGAAGAAATGCAGGCATTACCTTCTGTGTCTTGCGTATTTGCCACTGACGTGGCCACTGCCATCACAGCCGGGAGTGGGGCAGCTGCAAGGGAAAGAGGCGGTCACACAGGGGCACACAGGTGCGTGCTGCGGGCAGGTGGGGCCCAGTGCCTCTGCGGCATTGGGGGTGGGGGGGGACAACACAGACAGCAAAATGGAAGGGAGGGGACATTGGGATGCTGGCATCAGCAAAACCTCGGGGGAATTCACCTGTCAGCTCAGCAGGGCGTGAGCAAACCGCTGGTGAGCACCCCAGTACTGTCTACCCATCAAAAAGCACAAAGTACCTACATTGCCAGTGGGGATCCCCTACCCATGGAGAACTAACCTGAACAGCTCCTGAATGGCTGGTTCCACGGGAACTGCAGAGAGATGGGAAAGAGATACAAGTTCATCACCTATCCCAGCACCCCCTTCCGCAGAACACCATCCAGAGAGTGGCATCAACGCAGGGGCAGGATGCGCCATGCCAGCAGCCCCACAGGACGAAGGTGACCCCCAGCGGGCCTCCGGGACTCAGGGGTGCAGACGTACCTCGAACCCCTTTGGACCGCGTGCGATGACGCTTCTCCTCAGCGTCCACCTCCATCTGGGGAAAGAGCACAGGTGGTCAGTGAGCTTTCTCCACACGCACCAGCACCTCGGCGTTTCAGTGCTGCTTCGCTCTACAAGGGGCGCGGAGGGGCCCACCAGGCAATCTAAGTCTAATGTGCTATTTAAAATGATAACCCAGACCTTGACCTTGTGGGGAGCACTTAATCAGGAGGGCCCTCTGTCATGGGAGAGACTTGGGTGAAGCTCAAGGAGCAACCTATTTACTCTCCTTTGAAGGACTGATTAGGACACACCTGGGTTGAATCTGAGTTGCACTTTGTGCTAAGAATAAATGGCCATCATGCTTGCAAGAAGGCAGTCTGGATTCTTCTTGTAACTGAAGGGTTCAGTCTGGCGAAGCCATTAAGGGACAGGAGGTGGCAGAGCGGGACGGTGATTTCCCTGGGGGCTGTTCTCACCATCTAGGTCCTGGGGTAGTCACCCTGCCCATTGATTTAAATTCAACAGCTTGGATGCTTTCCAGGGACACAGGCCCTGTGCTCGTGCCAACTTACACATCCTACAGTCCAGAGGTTTCCAAGCATTTTCATGTACTACCTCACATGATCCTCACAATTTTGTAAGAAAGGTATCTTTATTGTACCTGTTTTATGGATGTGACCTGCCAGATCTGGGTAGCAGGCCCTGAAACCAAGCTGCCTGTCGCCGCACATCACCTTTAAGCGGAGGACGACATGTCCGGGTGGGGGAATATGTGCTCGTGTGTTTATGCACCAGATACTTCACAAGGTATAAGTCACTCAAACATGGTGCAAAACTGCTAGCAGGAGGCTTGTACTCAACAAGACTGTGACCCCCAGCGGGCCTCCGGGACTCAGGGGTGCAGACGTACCTCGAACCCCTTTGGACCGCGTGCGATGACGCTTCTCCTCAGCGTCCACCTCCATCTGGGGAAAGAGCACAGGTGGTCAGTGAGCTTTCTCCACACGCACCAGCACCTCGGCGTTTCAGTGCTGCTTCGCTCTACAAGGGGCGCGGAGGGGCCCACCAGGCAATCTAAGTCTAATGTGCTATTTAAAATGATAACCCAGACCTTGACCTTGTGGGGAGCACTTAATCAGGAGGGCCCTCTGTCATGGGAGAGACTTGGGTGAAGCTCAAGGAGCAACCTATTTACTCTCCTTTGAAGGACTGATTAGGACACACCTGGGTTGAATCTGAGTTGCACTTTGTGCTAAGAATAAATGGCCATCATGCTTGCAAGAAGGCAGTCTGGATTCTTCTTGTAACTGAAGGGTTCAGTCTGGCGAAGCCATTAAGGGACAGGAGGTGGCAGAGCGGGACGGTGATTTCCCTGGGGGCTGTTCTCACCATCTAGGTCCTGGGGTAGTCACCCTGCCCATTGATTTAAATTCAACAGCTTGGATGCTTTCCAGGGACACAGGCCCTGTGCTCGTGCCAACTTACACATCCTACAGTCCAGAGGTTTCCAAGCATTTTCATGTACTACCTCACATGATCCTCACAATTTTGTAAGAAAGGTATCTTTATTGTACCTGTTTTATGGATGTGACCTGCCAGATCTGGGTAGCAGGCCCTGAAACCAAGCTGCCTGTCGCCGCACATCACCTTTAAGCGGAGGACGACATGTCCGGGTGGGGGAATATGTGCTCGTGTGTTTATGCACCAGATACTTCACAAGGTATAAGTCACTCAAACATGGTGCAAAACTGCTAGCAGGAGGCTTGTACTCAACAAGACGGGGGGCCGAGAAGGGCGGAGAGTGCAGAGGGCAGGTCCTCACACCATAGGCACGAGTGTCTCAGCCGCCTCGGGGGTTTCCTAGCTCCGTGCCATGTAGCCAGAGCTGCGTTCCCAGGTAGAAGGCTGGACACCACAACATGTGATCTATGCACATTTTGCTTCCTCCAGGGCCTGTGGCAGGAAAAGCCACAGTAGGGGACAGAAGGCTCCCTGGGTGCAGGGGGCTCTGTGTGACGCCCTTCATAGAGGGGAGCAGGGTAGATCTGCCTGTACGGTAAATGCCTAGCAAGGCTTGACGCTGCGCAGGTACAACACCAAGCATCAGGGTGGTACCTGGGCAGCCCCAGATTTGATGTTCATATCAGGTGACCACCAAATACTGATGTACTGATCCTGTGTATTAGGAGATAAAAAAATACTTGTAATAAAAAATACAGCTCATTCAATAAACTTAATATCTTTTAATGGAAGATGAATCTGTGCAGATACAAGATAGTGCCAGCTTTAATAAGAATTTCAGAAAAGTAGGAGCTGGTGTGGATCATTCAAGAGGAGATGCACGGATGAAGCCATGACCCTGAGCATCACCTGCTCAGGCGGAGAAGGCAGGAGAGAGGCTGGCGCCCGCTGATAAGGACCCTTGAAACACAGTTGTTGATGGAAGAGTGAACGGATCAGTGAATCTGCTTCCTGGGAAGGGGGCAGGCCGGGGAGGTGGCAGGAGATCAAATACTGAGAAGACGGGCTTGATGGAGCAGAGGTGGACACAGGGTCAGGGCTGAAGGGTGTGTGGGCCGCTTTGGAGGCCCAGGTGGACCCAGGGGTCCCGCTGACCCATGGAACCAATTCTTGAGCACTTGAGCACGGTGTGGGGGTTGGCGTATGAGCGTATTTCAGAATAAAGTTAACAGAGCAGCAGCTTGACAGGGGCAGGGCTGGGAGAGCTGAGAGGAGCTGGAGGCCTCCGGCCAGGCTGCTTCGACCCCAGTGCAACCTCCAGGGAAGAGGCGCAGGAAGGACAGGGGCTTGAGGAATATTTTAAGAAGCATACATGCCAGCAGCCTGGGCGGCCACTTTTGGACACCTGCCCTTTTCCTATTATTTAAGCCGCCTACAGGGAACGAGACCCCCGTGGGCAGGCACACGGTGTGGGTCTGCAGTGAAAGTGAATAGCAGCCTGGGCAACACACCAATGCTCTGAAATTGTTATTCCACATGGGAAAACCCCCCAAACACTGTATCATTTCAGCAAAGCTCATTGTCCGATAGGATGGGACAAGAGCGTGCTGGCCATCGAGAAGGTGGAGGGAGCACACTGCGTTGCATCCGTGGAAACAGTGGCTCCTCCACCAAAGGACTTGGGGTGCAGAGGTGATGGGCTCAAGCCCTGGTCTTTGAGGAATCCAGCCCCAAGCGAGCACCCGTGTGAAGGAGGCAGGACGAGAGAAGGCCCCG